GCATGACTTACCTGCAGAGTATTTAGACATCCACGCATGTCGCCCTGCGCTATACCCACCAGCGCAGATAATGCCCGAGAATCTGCTCGCATGCCTTCGACCTCACATATGTCTCGCAGTCGCTTGACTAGACGAACATCTGGCGGACGGTTGAATCGAATAATTCGAGCATGCTGTCGTAGACGCGCCAAAGACGAGGAATAAAGATCGTTGCAGATAGCTATGATTGGGCGCAAAAGGGGTCGCGGCCGTGGCTGGTTGGCGCGTGCTACGAGATATCAGCATGTATGCAGAAATGAAGCTCTGCGTTAATAAAATAATATGCACACCTTTACGTTTCGGTTTATCAAAAGTCAGTTGGAGAAGCTTTTGGACAAAACCGCTGGTCTATGAGGTTACGATGGCTTGAGCATGCACTTGGGTATAGGTGCTTGGTAGGGGGGCAACCCACATTGTCGCCACCACCCGTGGCACCATCAATCTCATCCACAACCAGGAGCACGGGCTTTTTACTTCCAACCGCGGCACCGGATTCCAAAGCCGGACGAATGCGGTCATCCACTACTTGTCCTGATCTCGCATCACTGTTGTTGCAAGGATCAGCCACAAGTGTCCAGCTCACCCAGGACGACGATGACTACCTGGCATTTATTTCCATCACTTGATATCCAGCCTGAGCGCCAACAACATGAGCAAGTGTTGTCTTGCCGAGGCCAGGCGGTCCAGAAAGAAGCAGTATCTGCAGAATAGAACAGATGCATTCACATGATGTTATGAAAGACATAGGGTAGCGCACTCTTTCACGGGGACGACGATACTCGTCTTCAGGTCCGTATTGCTGATTCCCAAATTAGCGAATCAGAAGAAAACCGGGTCTGTAAAAAAAACTAACTGGCTCCGAATCGTCCGCTATTCCTCGTTGTTTTCCTTTCGGCTTCCTCCTACCAAACACGCAGAAGTCCCATTCTTTCACCCATGATAGTGTCTCGCGGTGCACTCTCTATTCACACTAAATTGAGGGCGTGCAGCTCGTTCCACGCAAATAACGTACCTCGTCGCCAAGCAGGTCCAGGAAACGCTGAGGACGATACCGATCCACCCAGAGCTTGTCTTCGGGTGGCTTGGGGCGGGCATCACGAGCGTCAGGGGGATTATGCTGACCCTCTCTAGGGGAAATGAGTCAGGTCGCGCGTCGCGTCCTAGAGTCGGGAGTGAGGGCGTACGTAAAGGCTAATTTAGCAGCAGTAGCCGCGGACAAATCCTCCATAAGCCTATGCATGGGTACATCGAGCAGGTTTCCCGCACGCTCAAAGGAGGATGTCGACGCCTGTTCGTACATCAGATCGAATAGGTGTGAGGTACAAGCAAGGCTTACATCTTTCTTAGGTGAGACTTTCCGTTTCCTCTGTAGAACCACGGTCTTCCCATCAAACGTTGTTGCCCGGATAGAACCTCGGGGGGCAGGTGAAAGAGAGGCGCCAGCGCTGGATGTTGCTATCATCGATGGGGTCTGCTCATTTTCACGCCTAGATGATACCGAATCAGAGAAAGAGGGAGGGATTTCGTCTTGAATCTGTAATGAATATATATATACTAGAACTTTCTTTTGAGTATCGCACCTTGGACTTGGGCGGTAGGCACTGTTCTATCCAAAGCACTGGCCCCACTTGCCAAAAGTCCGTTGGGAACAAAGGGGTCCTCCGAAAGTAATCCACTAGGAACGAAGGGGTCCTCCGAGAGCAACCCACTAGGGGTAAACGAGGAGTCAGTTGAAATGGAGAAGTCTGCGCCATTCTTCACGACGTCAACGTCTGCCATATCGGACGTGTTGTTTGGTCTATGTTTGCACACATGAACGTGGGCTGACGCGTTGTGGCGTGACAGTATCACGCTGTCACACGTCTCACGCTGGTGCGTAGTAAGTGTATGGAACTTTAGAGATGTAAAAGGAGCGTCCGTGCGTAGATGTCAAGCTTGGAGTTGTTGATGATATTGGTGCACTAATCAGATGCGTGCGCGCATTGGAAACGGAGCAACACCAGTGACCAGCGTTAGAGTCGGTTAGACTCACAGCTCACTCGCAGTTTCACAGGGCTTTCGCTACAAACTGTAAAACCAGCTCACCTTTGGCATAGTCACGGCACATATACATACAAGCAGCGAGATTATTTGGAAAAGTAAATCTGTTGTCCGTGGTCGGGAAGAGTCGTGAGCGGAGTTGTAAGCGTACGGCGCCGAACACCTGGTGTGATACAATTTGATTTTTGACCTTTTCCTCATCCCGCTCCGTGTCCGCTCCCAGCACCGTGCTTCAGCATGCTCACCTCTCGCGGCGTCACTCGCCTCACTCGCAGAGCGATTAACTCCAGGAAGTCGAGCGCTCTTTTCTCTACCCTTCCCGTCTTATCTAGAGCTACATTACCCACTGCCAGTCAAAGGCAGTCGACAAATGCCAAACCCACCCGCGTGTCACCGCCTGTGTCCAGTTCGTATCCCGCCTGTGTATTCTCCCATGATTCTCATTTCCTTTTTTTTTTTCTTCCATCTTCAGCCCGCGCGTATGCTACGGAGGCCAAGGCGCAGATTGGTGCGGTCAAGACCGTCATCGGTGCAGTCGTCGACGTTCAATTCGAAACGGAGAACCTGCCCCCCATTTTGAACGCCCTCGAGGTCCAGGACTTCGCTGGCGGCCGGCTAGTCCTCGAGGTCGCCTCGCATCTCGGGGAGAACAGTGTCCGAACCATTGCTATGGATGGTACCGAAGGTCTCGTGCGGGGCCAGAAGGTCATCGACACCGGCGCGCCCATCATGATTCCTGTCGGCAGCGGGACACTTGGGCGCATCATGAATGTCATTGGAGAGCCCATTGACGAACGTGGACCCATCAAGGGAGTCAAAAAGTCCCCGATTCACGCCGACCCCCCGCCCTTTGTCGACCAATCTACCACCGCCGAAGTGCTCGAGACGGGTATCAAGGTCGTGGATCTCCTGGCTCCGTATGCCCGTGGTGGTAAAATTGGTCTATTCGGAGGTGCCGGTGTCGGCAAGACAGTACTCATCCAGGAACTTATCAACAACGTCGCCAAGGCTCACGGTGGTTTCTCCATCTTCTGCGGTACGGTTCCCGCGCTTGCTGGCGTGCCGAAATCTGACATTTGTTAAGGTGTGGGCGAGCGTACGCGTGAAGGCAACGATTTGTACCACGAAATGATAGAAACCGGTGTCATCAACCTAGAGGGTGACTCGAAAGTAGCTCTCGTGTTCGGTCAAATGAATGAGCCCCCCGGCGCTCGTGCCCGTGTTGCTCTGACCGGTCTGACGATCGCCGAGTACTTCCGTGATGAGGAAGGCCAGGACGTGCTCCTGTTCATCGACAACATCTTCCGTTTCACGCAGGCTGGTTCCGAAGTGTCTGCGCTGTTGGGACGTATCCCGTCTGCCGTCGGTTACCAACCCACGCTCTCCACGGACATGGGTGGCATGTGAGTATACCCGATTCATTTTGGCAGAACACGGCTGATCGTGATGCGCAGGCAAGAGCGTATCACGACGACCAAGAAGGGCTCCATCACGTCCGTGCAGGCTGTATACGTGCCTGCCGACGACTTGACTGACCCTGCGCCGGCGACCACGTTCGCTCACTTGGATGCGACGACTGTGTTGTCGCGTGGTATTGCCGAGTTGGGTATCTACCCTGCCGTCGACCCGCTCGACTCGAAATCGCGGATGCTGGACCCGCGTATTGTGCGTCTGCTGCATGGGTTTTGTACAGGATTCTGACTTGGGCGGGATTCAGGTCGGGCAGGAGCACTATGACACTGCTACCGCCGTGCAGAAAATCCTCCAGGATTACAAGTCGTTGCAGGCAGGTCTCTTGGAAGGTAGCCGCGCGTGGTATCTCTGACACGTTCCTCCCGTAGGACATCATTGCCATTCTTGGAATGGACGAGTTGTCCGAAGAGGATAAGTTGACTGTAAGCGCTCCGCGTGGCTACGTATGATTTGTGGGACTTATTCGGGGTGTCTACAGGTCGAGCGGGCTCGTAAGATTCAGGTAATTAGCTGCGTCGCGCTGGAGTATGGGCGGTGTATTGACGTTTTCGCCGTAGCGTTTCATGTCGCAGCCGTTCGCGGTCGCGCAAGTGTTCACTGGTTACGAGGGCAAATTGGTACCTCTGAAAGACACGATCCGCTCGTTCAGGGAGATTCTCTCTGGACAGCACGATACCCTCCCCGAGTCTGCCTTTTACATGGTAAGTGACGAGGTGCTAATTTGAGCACTGGCTGACACGGGAACTGCAGGCGGGTACCATTGAGGATGTCAAGTCCAAGGCGGAGCAGCTCGCAAAGGACATGGGTGGATCTTAGAGAGAAGGGGAAAACAATACGAGTTGAACGGAACGGAATGTGGCTTTTTACCTTTTATTTCATGGTCGATGCAGTACATACCGATTAAAAACATGAATGAACAAGGCTGCGTGAGTAAACGGAGAGAGGTGCCGGTTCGCCGGCACCAAGCGTCCAGTTGAGCGCAGCCGCCGGCGCCTCAGAACGCACCACTTCTCTCTGCACCATCCACTCGCTCAAGAATCACATCCGCACTCTTTCGCTCAAGCATCCATTCATTAGAATCCTTTCTACCCACCCACCCACGCCAACCAAGCCCCGAGAATGAACCGCAGTCCAGGGCGGCATCTCACGTATACCATCAGCAGAATAGCAACCGATACACATCGTAATAGCCAGTAGTTAGACACAGATACATTAAAGGACATCAGCGTAATAAGAGAACATGGTACACATCCTGCAAGGACCGTGACGAGAGCAGCCGCCGAGCAAGGTCCCGCCCACCGAGCGGCGACCCTGCTCCGCGCAACCGGTGGGTCCAACTCACCTCAGCCCAACTCTCACAGCTCTCATCCCGGCCTTGCATAGTTGAAACTGGCGAGCAAGGCACGGCCTTTTTCACCATGAAGCGTTGTTTCTGGAATGTCTAGTATGACGACGTAGCAAAGTTGGTTAATGCGTGTGATTAGAATATTCTGGTCATATCACATCCTCTTCGAGGGCGTAGGTTCGAATCCTGCCGTCGTCGTTCTTTTGTCCCGGGACAATTGGGTAAGCGCCCACCGGCGGGTGCGTCTTTTTGTGGAGCCCGGATGAGTCTTTTTGTGGATCGCGGAGCCGTAAGTGGATATGACTCGTGCATCTCTAATACTTACGTCCAGGTAAAATTTCTGAAACGCTCTGACCCGCACCATCATATCTAATCACAGGGACAATAGAGAAAAGAACAATGGCGAGGCGGCATGGCTACGATCCTCACGGGGGCATCGCTCCCCACGCTCTGCGGGAGGGAACAAAAAGAGATGGACAATGAGATGGAGAATGAGATGGAGCCCGTTCCCCTCTTTTGTTCTCCATGACTATAGAACCTCTAGGCTGCCGCTCCTAATACCCCCCAGCTGCAGCCATGACTCTCTCTGTCTCCATAGAGCCACTCGTCCCCGCAATAGACATGTATGATTCTCCAGATACCAAGTGAGTCCCGCCGCCGCCCACAGCGACGAGCACTGACTGACCCCCGCCCAGCTCTGCATATTCCCTCTCAGGCCACATCACCATCGCCGCCTCCCCGTCCTCTTCCATCCTCGCTTTACCGCGCTCGTCGCCGCATAATCTCCTCCTCACCGCCCTCGAGCTCACCTTCGAGGGCCAGTCCGAGCTCGTCCTCCCCGAGATCGGCTACGCGCCCCTCCGCCTCCTCTCCATCACAAAGCAGCTCGTCGAGCCCGCCCACCCCGTCCAGATCACCACCGACGACGCCCACGCCGAGTGGCGCGTCGTCTTCAACCTCCCCGTCCCCGGCTGGCTCCCCGCCAGCGCCGTCTTCGGCGACCACGACGGCCAGGGCCCCACGGGCGTCTCCTACGCCCTCTATGCCCGCGCGCGCTTCCACGTCGCGCCCGCCGACGCCGACGACCCCGCCGCCCCCGCAGCGGCGGGCGCGTCCCCGTCCAGCATGTGGAACAACCTCTGCTCCGTCGTGCGCGGCGCCCCGCGCCCGCGCCTCGTGCAGGCGGAGAAGGTCGCCATCCGCGTCACGCGCTACGTCTCCCCGCCCGCGCGCGCGTATCACCGCGCGGAGGGCGCGGCACCGCCGCCGTTCCCGCGCTCGACGTTTGCCGTCCAGGCGCTGTCCGAGTGCGCCGCGGGGGAGGCGCAGGCTACGAATATTCCGGCGGAGATCCTCCGCGCCGTGGAGCTCCATGCGATCGTCCCCAGCCGCACGGCGGTGGGCGACGATACGCTCCCTCTCCTCCTGCGTCTGCGCTCCCGCTCCCCCGAGGAGGCCGCGCGCAGTCGTTTGAGGGTCATGGCGTTCGAGGCCAACGTCGTGCAAGTAGAGCGCTACCAGTGAGTGCCCCGCGGTTGCTCACGCGTCGCCCCCCCTCTTACCTGTCGTTTTACAGCGCTTCTCCCTCCGCAAGCTTCGCCGCCCGTTTTCCAATTCCGCCCGCAGCGCAGCAGCCCCCGCACGTGCCCCTCAGATCCGCACACCCCGTCGGCACACTCTTCGAGATGGGGCTTATTGGCCTCCCGCCACAAGGTCAGCAAGCGCTCGTGCACGAGCGCAGCATCACGCCAGACGGCGCGAGCAAGCATTTCAAAGTGCGGGGCGGGGAGGACGAGCCGCGGCATGGGGGCGTGGCCATCACGGACACCTGGCTCCGCATGCAGGTCGACGTCCCCGTGTCCCCCGGGCTCCAGACGGGCGACGAGGAGACCGCGGCGGGCAAGCGCGTGTCGGGCGAGAGCCCGTTCTTCGACGTGAAGCACGAGCTGCGCATCCGTCTCACGGTGGGCTGCGCGCCGCCCGCAGACGCAGACGCAGACGCAGACGGTGCGGCGGACGAGCTGGCGTTCACGGTCCCGCTCGAGTTCGTGCGCGTCACGCCCGCCGCGGCGGCCCCGCGCGCGGCGCCGTTCTTCCCGGTCCTCGCGCACACGCACGCGTGCTCGACGGCGTCCCTGCCCCTGCCGCACCCGCCCATGGCGCCCGTGCACGCGCCGTCCCCCTCCGCATCCCGCGAGCGCACGCGCACGCGCTCCCTCTCCGCGATCGCCACGGACGCGTCCGCGTCCACGCCCCTGCCCCCGCCCCGCCCCCGCCGGCGCTCCCCGCATACAGCCAGCTCTTCCACGAGAACGGCGAGCGCAAGGACGACATGCGCGGCGCGCTCCCGCTGTACCGCGAGAAGGAGGAGGCGCCCGCGCCGGAGGCATCGAGCGCGTCGCCGGCGTCCAGCACGGCGAGTCTGGAGGACGGCGCGGCGGGCGTGCCCAGCGCCCCGCGCGTGGACCCGGCAGCGGCCGCGGCAGCGCAGCCCCCCGCGCGCCGCGCAGCACCGGCGGCGCGCACGACCGCGCAGGCTCCGAACGCGTTGGAGGGCGGCGCGGCGCTGGGGATGTTCGCGAGCATGGGCGTCAGCGTACCCATGCTGCCCCCGCGGCGGGCGCGGAGCGCGGCCGCGCAGAACGTGCGCGTGAGCGTGGACGAGGCGCCTCCGCGTGTGCGTGCGCGCCGCGCTCCGAGCCCGAGCCCGAGTGAGGACGGCGACGGCGCGGCGCTGGGCATGTTCGCGAGCATAGGCATCAGCGTGCCCATGCTGCCCCCGCGGCGGGCGCGGAGCACGGCACCGCAGAACGTGCGCGTGAGCGTGGACGAGGCGCCTCCGCGTGTGCGTGCGCGCCGCGCTCCGAGCCCGAGTCCGAGTGAGGACGGCGACGGCGACGGTGCGGCGCTGGGCATGTTCGCGAGCATGGGCATCAGCGTGCCGATGCCGCCGCGCCTGGAACGCACGCCGTCGCTGGACTCGCCGGTGTCCCCTGGGATGCCGCTGACGCCGCCCGGGCTCGCGCCGCAGGAGCAGGAGCGGGAGCGGGAGCGGGAGCAGGGGAAGCACCGCGGGCGGCGGGAGGGCAACCCGAAGGGGCGGAAGCGCGGGGAGATGGTGTTCGGGGAGAGCTTTCTGCGTCTGGACGAGGACGGGGATGGGGACGCGGGGCGCGGGCACGTGCGCGTGCGCGCGGCCGTCGCGCATCAGCGGACGCGAACGCATCCGGGGGACGGCGATCGCGATCGCGTGCGCGGGGAGGTGCAGTATGGGATTGCGCTGTGAGGGCACGCGGCGTGGGGCGCTGCGCCGATCGTGATCGTGTTCCGCTCTTTCCGCCTTGGTTCGAGCCGTTGGTAACTATTATTTCGCCTGCCACGCTATCCTATCCCATGCCATCCTATCATCAGCATCACATCATCCGCCTCGTGTACATCACCGCACCAGCCATGTCTCCCGCACACGCTCTGTCTCTGTCTCTCGTTCACCCGTGCTCGGTTTCCACATACGCATCGACCCGCAGATAAAGTACAGCATCCACAATATCCGAGCAGCGCTCCACACGATACAGTACAGTACGCAGACGCGCTTCTAATAGAAATAAAATAAATAGTTACGCAGCGCCCGCACGTGCGTGCTAAGTGAATGGGTGCATCGGGGCCCCAGGAGCGTGGCGCGTCCGCGGCGTGGGTGCCTGCACGGCCGGCCGCGGCACGGTGCCTGTGGCGACGCGATGCTGCACAAACTTAACTTAAGGTTATATGAAGGGCGCAGCGTGACCGCTCAGGTGCTGATACGAGAATAGGTCACGGCGTGACGCCGGGGCAGGCCCTGTACAGCGCGAGGTGTGAGTGTTCCGGTATATATAAGGTGTGTCGGGCGGTGTCAGGCGGCGTGACAGATTATCTACAAGTGTGTGGGTGATCGCCCGGGTCGCGGCGCAGAATACAATGGGATCATGATATGTCTCCTCTCTGGATCTTGGGCGGCGGCTATGGGATAGCTGGAGGTGGGGCGTGACGCGCTGGCAGCACGCTCTCGCGCTGGGCACTACGCGTGACTGGACGTGGGCCTGGCAGGGCGACGTGGGCCTGAGCCGCCTGATTGGACCTGAGCCTGGGCTAAGCCCAAGCCTGTGCAGCGTGGGCGGCAGGTTGCCTGCTATGTTGTGGGCCAGGAGCGGCGGCGCGTGACGCGGTTAAGTGTTAAGGTGGTGCGCCATCGTGATGTTGTGCCAGGCCAGAGGTGCCGCGTCCGAGGCCTGCATGCTGCATGTGGTGCCGCGCATCGGGAGCCTTGTGCGGCGGCACCGTATGCTCCCCAGCAGAGCTGTCGGTGGATGGACGCCGCGGGCACGCAGCGCGTCGCGACAGCGGGCGTCCCCTTGCATCCTGCATCAGGCTGTATATAAGGACATGCTGGTCCGCACCAGTAAGCGAGCACGGCCCGTGGACACGACAGCCTGAGTCAGGCTCCGCCTTATCAGTGCGCGGAATCTATGGACGCCGCGGGCGCCAGTGGAACCCCAGCGGACGTGCGTGCGGGTGCGGTGTGCGGGCCCGCCGGGCCGGCGTCCGAGTCCGCGAGGCAGCTTGCAGGACTGTATCTGCCTGCGTATGCAATCATATCTATTGCTTATCTGCATCCATCGCAATCTCCATCGCACTTATCGCTGTCCATCGCTCCCGGGCTGGCCGACCCTTCTCACAGCACAGCGACCCCCGCGACCCTCCGATTTTGCCTTTAGATAACCGTACGCGGGGTCCGCGATCCGGTCGCCGGCGTCTGCGATGCTTATGGACACTCCCAACACAATAAATATACGCGCTATATATATTGCTGCATTTGCGATGTCCTGGAGACGGGGCTATATTATGCCTTGGTCTTACTTAGCCTTAGGGTTCAGTGATTATCGATGACCGGTTACTAGGTCATGCGGCGGCGCAGGCAGGCGCGCACCCGTCCAGTGATGCGGACCGCATCAGTGCCAGCGCACTCATCGCGCGTGCTAGTCATCTCTGGCACCGCCGCAGCCTGATCATCACCCCATCGCATCGCACCACGTCGCGCACCGCCCTCACGTGACCCGCAGGCTCCCCGCGTCCAATCGCGCGCCCCGACCGGATATAGCTTATGACCGCACGGCTGACGTCACGCGTCCGTCACACCCCGCCGTAATTGCAAAAACACATTGCAC